ATTTTTACTCAGGGCAGTTACGATGAGCTGCGCAAATTTGTTACGAATTAAATACACACACTACTATCGCGTCGTTTCAAGTGAAAACTAAGGAGAACGAGCTTACGAGATCCACGTACAATCCTAGTTCATTCAGGGTTGAAGACAAATCGTTACTTGTTCTTCCTTTTTACAATGTAAACCTATGAAAAAGCCTTATCCAACAGTTGTGTACGACACAGAAGTCGCGGCGTGTAGAAGAGATAGCGCGCTCTAACTATATTAAACTTTCTCCAAGGAAGTTCGATCTTTCTCCCCTATACACATACATGTATCATTTTGCCATATTCTTTCATCCGATTCCTATGGAAAGTGAGACCGCCGGTCGTCAGACTACAGCGTTATTAATCGTTAACAAAAGTGTTTGGTTACTCCATCGAGAGAGTCGTCCGTTGAAATGTTCAAATTTCAAGGAAATCCACGTGTAATCGCGTGAATGGAAATTGGAACATTTGCGAATGAACGAACGAACGAACGAACGAACGAACGAACGAACGAACGAACGAACGAACGAACGAACGAACGAACGAACGAACGAACGAACGAACGAACGAACGAACGAACGAACGAACGAACGAACGAACGAAAGAAAGAAAGAAAGAAAGAAAGAAAGAAAGAAAGAAAGAAAGAAAGAAAGAAAGAAAGGGAGAGCGCTATCGATTTGGCGGAGTAGCGAAAAGAAGAACCATTTGAACACACACATATACACAGACGCGTCATTGCACGTGCTTACGACGTAGAGACGAAAAAAAGCATTACGTTAATTGTATCCGTGGATAACGCTTTCATTCCACGGCAAGCATTAAGACAACACATGAATATATCGCGATTCTTGATCCTGTTTTTCATACATCGAAAAATACTCGTTGAAAAAGAGCAAAAACAAAAAAAAAAGATAAAAATAAAAAAAAAAGAACAGCCGCAAGGCATTTGAAGTACGTAACGCGACAAAGAGACTGTAGACAAGTGGATACTTTTCATGCGCGCGTCATCGTACTCATACACCGTTAATACACTTCTCACCTATTGATGCCACGCGTTATCAAAATCCAAGATTTTCCTTTTCGACACTGACACATTAGTTTTTTTTTTCTCTGAATTTCTCACGATATATTTTTGTTACTAGTTTCTTTCCTTCTGTTCTACAATATAATTAGCGTGTGGCGTAACCAATCACAACATTGGTACAGTTGATGGAAGAATTGTAGCGCGGTCAGAAAAGAATCAGGATTCTAAATGATAAAAAGAAAAGAAGATAGCGTCGCGTGTCCAAGGGTTCACGATAGTTTCGTAAGGAAGCTGAATGCATTCTCGACCGATATCCCTCGCATTGTATACCTTTTTACAGACTACATATTCCGTTCAATTTGCTTTCCCTCGAACCGCGAACATCGCCTATTTTCGCTTTCGAACGGAAAGCGTGTGTCGCATAGAAATGAACTCAATATCGATCGAGCATGCGTCGTGACAAACGTGTATCGTCAGTATGTTAATAACTTGAATGTAGGCTTTCTCAAAGGCAAATTCTAATGTGTACGAGTGAGTACAAGCCTCTGTTTAAGGCAAAACAACATAATCAGAATAAGGAGGAAAATCCACGGCCATAATAATATAGATCTATAAATTGTAATAAGAAGAGCGTGTGTGCTTTCGAAAAAAAATTCAGTGTGCGAGCAAAGTTATACGCGTGAGTCTCTCGTCCGTATGAGTGTGTATTGCGATATGCAAATGCGTGCGTGTGGGTATGCGCGCATATGCATGAGTGTATGTGCGAGTTGCGAATGAAGGAATGATATGATATTTAGCGTTTAAAAGTTACGCGCTAAGATACCGCTGCGCTATACCGACGTCCGCGTCTTTCATCGACCGTAATTCTCAATGTCGAATGGGTCACGCGTTTGATGCAACCATTGAAAATCACGCGAATCGGCTACAACTATCGTACAAACAAACAGTCTCGGCATATCGCAACGGTGTTAAAGCTCTTACGCGTGAAACGCGCGACATCGCTTGTGAGTTTCTTCTGGGCTGAGGATACATTTAGACCCCGTTTCCCTTTGCGTCTCCGTCCTCGAATCAAAAAGGAACGATCACGATCACGATCACGAGTGTATCAACTTGACGAGGGAAAAAGGTGTGTATTGCATACGCCCTGGAAGAAACAGCATTTCCGTGTTACGTTCTTTTCTTCTTCTTCTCCTTTTTGTTTTTTTCTTATTTTAAAAGAAGCGGTATGAAAGGAGAGAAAAAAAGAAAAAAAAATGTCCTTAAGAAATGAATAAAAAAGAAATTTCACGGACAACTTTTAAAAAAGTGAACATAATGTTTTTTTTCTTCTTCTTCTTCTTCTCATTATTTTTACGATTGTCTTTGCTTTTTCAGTATTGCAACTCATTTCGTATTGTGAATATTCACAAAGAAGAAACCCCCGCCCGTCGTTCTTCTCCTTCATCGATTTTCAGATGGTCTCTATCTGTTATACCGTTGTCAAGAATTATGAATCGATCGTGAGAACGATAGATAACTCGTCCCTTTTTTCTATGAAAAAAAAGACGCGAAACAATAAAGGTGGTGGGTGGTGTGTATGTGTTCTCTTTCGCACGGAACCCGAGCGAATGAGCAAGAAAGACAGAGGGACAATGGTGATTGGAGGAGAGAGAGTCCATTTTGCATTACAGAAATGAATATGTGAAGTGTTATCTTCTTCAACTTCATACGTATAGTTTTCGTATAGACAGGAGAAGCTGGAGGAAAGTGAGAGAAAGAGAGAGAGAGAGAGAGAGAGAGAGAGAGAGTGGGGGGGTTTTTCGGAGTTTGGACTCGTCCAACTTGCGAACGGCATTGTTTTTTTCTGTGTAAAAGCGAGCAAGTCCCATGAGAACTTTGTAAGCTTCCTAATAAAATAGCATTTAATCCATAAACCGCTGAATGGATTTAGCTGTTTGCGTTCCAAATGCGTTACCTCTAACTTCTCGTTGCATTTATTCTTCGTACACGCTGTTCCTCGGTGTGTATCGATCAAATATACTATACCCTCCTCCTTAAAGAATGTCACCCTGTCAACACGGGACACAACAGTGATCGTTCTGCGCGACCAACGAACCGCTGGATACCGAACGGAACGGACAACTGTCGTGTGTGCCTATGGATCGAAGCAATTCGTGCGATTCGAATTCATCTTCCGTGGGAAAAACACTGGAAAAACCACCGCCACTCTTTAAACTTTATTTTTCCAAGGACAGATTGGTTGGCAAATCGAACGTATGCATTTCGAGAATCAACGGTACATATTCGGGATTTTTCTTTATTTTTCTTTACTGAAATCGTATCGCTTTTACTCCTCGCGCGCGAGAAGCAATACAAGCTAAATCGATGCTACTTTGGCTGCAGGTGGTGATTCGATCACGCCTAAATTCTACTCCAAAGAATACGACAATACGGTGAATGATTTGAACACGGTTGACACGCACCACGAAGGAAGTACGGAAGAAGAGGAAAATGGTTGTAAAGATACCAGACGTCGGCCACTGCTTACCAGCCACGCGTAATTTCAATTATTTTCTGTGAAAACCAGGCATGCTGGCAGATTTCACTTTTTTCCCCTTAAACAGCCTTGAACAACCTTTGGTCTCCTTTCGTGACTTTAGGTACGGCTGGTGGCACGAACGAGGAGGAATACAACGGTTAGACTCGCGATTCGACTTCCGTAAAAAAACATCGGATTTGGTAATCTTAGGAGTAAAGTTATACTCGGAGGATCGAAAACTTACACGCTGTTAAAAATGAAAATGAAAAGGCAAGGTGACTACGCGACGCAGAGCGCGGCGAATCGAAATGAAACGAAACGAATGTTCCGGTCTTTCGAATAGGTTAGTTGTTTTCAAAGAAGCGGGGCTAGCGTAAAAAGCACAGCAGCGCCTGTCGCGGGTGGTTCAGGTAGCGACGGTTGTCGCGCGATCGATCTCTCGGTTTCCCGCCACCTCGAGATCCTCGGACCGGCAACCAATCGGATATGAGACCAAGAGAATACCTCGAATCGTTGCGAACGATTCGAGCAATTGGAACTCGGCTCTAGCGATTGTTTTCCGCCCGTACGACCAGTGGCGATTGAAAAAAGGGTATTGCGACGGGATTCCGCCAAAAATGAATTCCGGCGTGGCGGAGCATACGAGACTTGGTGAGGATTGTCTCAAGAATTCCGAAGAATTTTCGCCTCCTGAGAGGTAAGTCTATCTTTCGGCCATCTCCCACGTTTCGAAGAAGCTGCAAAGTTTCGGTAATCACCGTGTACATCTTTCTTACCTGTTGCTCAAGGTGATGCAGGTGCATATTTTCGCGCGCACAGGTAAGGTTAAGAACCTCTGCCAGTGGTGAATCGGTCGTTCTATTCATCCGATGCAGTAGATGTTCGTTCTTTTCAACTTTGCTTCGCTTCGCTTCGATTTCGTTTATCTATCGAGAAACACCAGATTTATCCACGACTACAATTTATCAACGAAACATATCAGAACAATTATTTTTCAACAATGTTCTTCGTTTAGTTCTACCGCGGCTTCAGGAAAACAATCTTTATTTCTCGTTTGAAGAATTGACAAGCGATTATTCCAAGATTTATCGAAACCTATGTTCTTTATTTTAGATTTAGACTATGTTTCGGAACGATCCAAGGATTGAGTTTTTCGGTTTATAGATGTTACTAGTGACCGAGCAATGGAGTCGTGACTTTTTCATTGCAAACATCTTCTTCGAATTTCCTCCAATTACATCCTTCTTCTTATTCTCACGTATCGTTTATTTCTTCTATGTGTTCCCTCGAATCTTCTTTAACGTTCTTCGCGCAATATGCGCGTTATGTTATCGAATAAATTAAGTTACACCTTTTCTTTTGAAAAATGCTGTTTAAAGTAGTAGTACTAATTAATTGCAAATCTTTGCATTGTGGTTGGTAATAGTTATGTTTACTAGGGACCGTTCAATCTTTCCCCTTCATCTTGTTTGTTTGGAACTATAAATTCCATTGATGGTGACCTTTAGTCTATAAACATTTTCAATTTAAATTGAGCTTAATAACTTAGACGTTTAAGTCCTTTCTCTGTGGCTTACAAGTTTTGTTCTATATACTTTTGCGAGGCAAATTGTACTCGTTTAAGGACAAATTGTGGAATTACTATGTCCAAAGGATCGCCTTCTTCACCCTGGTGGAACAGGTTGTTTTTTATATGTAATCGATCAAAGCAACTAGTATATTTATTCAAGGATATGTTGCCATCTGTCTTATTTGTATAAATGTCTTTTACAGCAAACGGCTACGCTTAGATGACAGCTGTAATAACAATTTAAATAGTACTTTGAACAGTGCATCCAAAAATAATGCAAAATGGTCCTGTTCCGGCGATGGAAATCTCGTAGAACCAGAAATTTTAGAAGATATGGGTGTTAGTATGCTAGAAGATGAAGCATCCAGTTGCGAAAGTACAAAAAAGTCTCAGTCTCAGGAGCATACAACCTCACCAGCTAGTTCAAATAATGGTAGGCAATGTGAAAAAGTCAACAGTTTCGAGAGTCAAGAAAATAGTATCTATAGAGCTTCCAGCTTCGAAACTGTCGTTATGGATAGGTTTGTATTTTCACTTGATCAATTCTTCCATTCCCTCTCCTTAAATTTTCTCATGCTACTGAAGATTATGCTCGTAGATTAAGTCAAGATCCGTACGAATCGGACGAACCTGCGATATATTCAAACGCTGGAAACGAATCTGGTTATTCCTCTAGAATGGAATTAGATAATTTTGTCGATACGAAAGAAACCTTTCCCAAGGACAGTCTAAACGTTTCATCTGGGAAAAGTAGTCTTGAACAATTCTACCTCTACAGAAGAAAAAGAAAACCTTCGATCGTCGGTGAAGATAAGTTCAACAAATTATCCGATGAGATGATTTTAATGATCCTAAAATGGCTTCCAAAGAAATGTTTGGTAAGATTACGAATTAACAGGAAGAAATGATAAAAGCAGTTTCTTGCCAAACTGTATAAGCAATGTTACGTTATTCTATCACGATCTCTATTTTTAGGTCCGTTCCATGTTGGTTTGTAAACGATGGTGTCAAATAGCGCGAGACGAAGCGTTATGGAGCAGATTGGATTTAGGCAGTAAAGTGTTAAACGAAGGCACATTGGGGCACATATTACCACGAGGCGTTCAAATACTTCGACTTGCTCAAGCAGAAATTGCAGATATTGTTTTTCTTGAAAATAGCGAAGTTTTCATCGATTGTTACGTTAGTAAATTGCAATATTTAGACCTCTCAATGGCGGTCATTTCTCCAGATGGATTGGCTATGTTACTCTCTAAGTGTAAATATCTGAAAAAATTATCTCTAGAAAAATGTACAGTGAACAGATCATGTTGCAAAGCTATCACTGATAATAATGATTTAGAAATTTTAAATTTAACAATGTGCGAGGGTATGGATGTTGAATGTATCAAGGATTTGATGAAACTTACAAAGTAAGCAAAATCACTTGCATTGGCATTGCTTGATTAGAAGTTTAGTAGCTTTAAATCATCCATTTTATACTTACAGCCTTAGTGCCGTCAACTTGGCTTGGTGTGGTCTCGATGTCGAATCTATGATGTTACTTTGTAAATCTCTACCTCCGTCTGTTACGCGTTTAAGTATAGCTGGCTGCAGAAAAACAGTGACCGACGATAGTAAGTATAGTATTTTCTTTATTTTATTCTTTATCAAAAACTATTCTGCTACTTTTTTCCCATTTCAGATATCAAGGACTTGGTGAAAAGTTGCCCGGATATGGTAGAATTAGACTTGAGCGATTGTACTATGCTTACGATGAATACTGTTCGTAATTTACTTGATTTATCGAAATTAGAGCATTTGTCGCTTAGTCGCTGTTACGGTATACCTCCGTCGACGTATGTAACATTGGCGTATATGCCATCTTTGCTGTACTTGGACGTTTTTGGTTTAATACCTGAGCCGGCGCTGAAAACATTACAAGTTACCTGCGGCGAAACCCAACTTAACAAGTTCCTATATAGTTCGATCGCGAGACCGACGGTCGGTGTCCGAAGAACGAGTATTTGGGGGCTTCGCGTTAGAGATTGAACATAAGTATTGTATCGGGTTGTTTCTTCTACTCTTTTTTTTTTCTTTTTTTTTTTCTTACACGAATAACGGTAAAGACCAACTGAAAGCCAAAGGAAAACTGAGATGTACGTGTGTGCCTTTCCACAAAGTGTCTTCTTATCTATCAAGAGACTGATTTTACGATTCTATCAAAATAAATTTAAAGCAATATACTTTTTGTATATCATTCTCTTTGTCTTTCATTTATCAATTACGTTTTAGGTTCGTCAATATACATATATCAGTATTTACATAGGAGGAATAAAAATAGTTGGTTGCCGACAGTGTATGTACTATATCGAGGAAAATATTAAAAAGTCGACCGTTGTTTTAGTCAAACCACACCATTACATTTACATAATTCATGGTACAGTGCGTGTCTACCGCAAATATTTATCACATTAGGCAGAACTTAAACTGACCAAGTATATGTATATTTCGTCGAAAGAACGAACTATGCAGATTTGATGGTTTTAGTCTGATAGGAATCACGTTTATGGTGTTTCCTCGATTAAACAATACTTCACAAATGCACGATTTATCTACCTGGTGGGGCTGTGTGAACATATTTTATTCGTAGCCTTATTTTCTTCCATTATGTACATTATTACGTTTTATTTTTACGAAACGTACCGTTTTTAATTGAATTTGTACTTTATTGCTTGTCATTTCTTTTTAAAGCGATATCGATACTGATAGCAAAGTGGGTTCTTATTTTTCAACCAATAAACTATACAATATAGAAGGTGAACCACAAGGTAATTTAACCATAAAAGTTGTATGAAAAATAAAAACTTGGATGCTATTAATTATTATCAACAGTACACGTTAATTAGTTATCCATCAGTTTGATTTCTTCGTTTTCCCCCAATAACTAAACAAGATAAATTCAGACTTCTTAATGAATAACAATAAAAAGATATTAGACATTTATTAATGATCGTGAGAATACAGGAAAGCGCTGTTCAAATGTTTTCGTCCAATTATTTCACCTTGTACGTATTTAACATCACTATATCGCACTGTAAGCACAGTACTTACAGATTAACCAATTACACGAAAATTCCTTTTTTACATATATCAATGATACTCTACTATCGACTTACAATTTACTAGTCAGGGCTCCTGAGTATTTTCATTAACCTAGACTTAACGTTATATACTTCTTAATACGAAATGGCAGACTTTTTGGTATGAAATGTTATATTTCCGCATTGAGAAATTCGTTTGAACGTCACCGAAAATAAAGGCGGAAACGAAGAGGGAAGCGATACTTCAAAATTAATATTTGAATTTTAATCGTTCGTAGATTTAAAACATTTTTAGCTCTCTCTTCAAACTGCATTCGAGTTACATGCTACTAGCGCATTCATTGCCAGTAAACGCACATTACGCTCGCGCGTGTGTGTGCGTGCGTGTGTATATATCGCGTACGTAAAATTTAGTCAAGCTAGGAATTTACATTACTAACAAATGTACTTCTACCTTACAATATTTATACACGCACGTTTTGTATAGAAAACAAGAAATGAACGTTAAAGTCATCTTCTTTCAACAATGTCATTTACACCTTCTCCGTTATCATTTAGTACTAATCCATTTCTTAATAACACATTACTTAATATTTGCAATCTTTCACGCTGCAGTAATGATCGATTAAGCTGCAGTCACAGTAGCTGTTTCGATTGGCGATCCAACCGTAACTTTTGACTTCACAGGCTGAACCTCTGTTTCTTTTTCAGTGGCATAAATCGACTTTGACTCTTGCCTTTCTTGTTCACTCTGCCACTGAACCTGTAACAGAAAAAAAGAGGCACAAATTTTTATAGAATAAACCTTTCAAGGCGCAAGATGCGTATTAATCGTTAACTAATTATCATTGCAACAGGATAATTTCATTAGATCGATCAATTACCTTCTGCTTGTGCTGCTTATTAGCATCTTTGCATTTATCTATAACCATTTGTTCCGTTAATACACCGTCTTCAGAAGCATAGGCCGCTGCTTGCCAGGTGACGCCCAATTTTGCTAATTCTCTTCCAGACATTCCTTCGGTCATTTCAGCAATTTTACTGCAAAGTACGCTGTAATCGAATTGTGCGACCTTTAATCTCTTGTTACCTTCGATCGCCGGTTGAAGAACAAATTTATCGAAGTAAAGACGAACTAAACGTTCGCGTTCTTCTTTTCCTGGTAGACGGAATTCTACCATCTCGTCTAGTCTGTCGTTTACAGCCCAGTCGAATTGTTCCGGGGTATTCGAAGCGAGAACCAACATGAATTTGTTACTCTGCTCGCCAGTTCTGTAGAGGAACGCGTTTAACATCGCTCTCAGATCTTCTGATATACGTTCGCTGGATCGTTTCCTTAAAAAGGCATCCGCCTCGTCGATGAAAAGCAGGAGACCTTTCCTAGAGGTTACCGCCCAGTCGAAGACTTTATGAATAGCAGTGACACCATCTCGACCCAATGGTGCCAGATCGCCACCAGTTACGATCGCGTAGTCCATACCAGAGTGTTCCGCTAATTTTTTGGCGAACATAGTCTTACCGGTTCCAGGGGGACCGTGCATTAATATATTTCTATACATTCCGCGATTCTGTTTCGTGTTTTTCGTAGCTATCGCGATATCGCGTAATCTTTCTTCAAGCTTCGGTGCCAAAACAACACCAGACAATGCGTCGGTCTGCTTAGTTTCCAGTTTCTTCACTGCTTTGATAGGATGCCGTATCGTATCCAATGCTGTGAATCTGGAAGTTTCTCGAACCAAAGACGGTTTGCCCAACCGCGACTCTATGTACCGTGCTGCTATACCCGTTGTACCTTTCGCGCTATATACACCGAGAGCCAGCAGAGACAAACCTCCTGCGGCAGCGAGAATTTTATCCCAGTCTTGAAGGAAAGCCGTCAAGCCGGTGCCCAATACCGAACCGGCGGTTCTGAAACAACGTTCGACAAATATAAATCAATATTTTCAATCTCCTTGTCATTACTTGGTTACTCGTTTACTCACTTTATAGATTCCAAAACTGTGACTCGTTTTTCAGATGCTTCCACTCTGATTCGTTCTAAATTCAGATCTTGATTTTCCCTATCTATCTTTGCTTTTGCTATAATCTTTGCTTCTAACTTTTTCATCTCATTTTTATGCCTCAAATCCATTTCATGTTCTACAGTAGCTTTCCTCATTGCTTCCTGTTTTGCCACTGACTCTTCTTGTCTCTTTAAATTCTCATCGTTCATTCTCTGTTGTTGCATTAGCTGATCGTCATACCGCTTCCTCACCAATTGATCTTGATACTGTGCTCTCATTTGATGTTGTTTAGTTTCTTCTTGTATACTTTTTCTTCTCTCTTCCCCTTCAATACGTTTTTGCTCAATTTTCATTTGTTCTATGCTAGCCTCATATTTTTTCACTTCTGCTTGCCTTTCCATCTGTTTGGTACTTTCTTGCATTTTGGAAAGTTCCAATGCTTCTTTGGCATGTACTGTAGAAATAAGTGGATGGTAAGAATTCCTTTTATAAATTTTGCTGACTGGTATATGCAAAGCTAGGTACTATACAGCTAACAACTAGTATTATACGATATATATATTTTATTCTGATTGATAATCCAGGACCGGTTTTCTGTAATCGAAAGTTTGATGAAAAGTTGAGGAAAAAGCGACGAATAAAAGACGAAGTACTAAGGGTGTTCTAAGATCGTCGCGTCGACGCTTATGTTTCTCAAATATATTTACAGGTTTACACGACATGGTCATTTTCATTGATGAAACGAATGTTTTAAAACTCCACTCGATAAGGAATCGTTGCATCATCATGAAGTTAGGTGTTGGAGTATCGTGCCATAGGAAGCACGAGGTCCTTAACCTAAGAAATCGTTTTCTGCTTACGTAACTTCCTGCAATGATTTCATCGAACGGTAAAGTTTAATTTTGAAAACGTGACCGATCGTACCGGATTTTTCGAGTTCCCTGGCAGCTGCCGCTGCTCTTTCCAAGGCAGTCGAATCGAATCGATAGGATTCCATTTGAGAGGATTTAGGTGGTGGTGTATGACCATCATCTCCACCACCACTCGCACCGGGTACTTGTGGTTGTATAAATTGGGAAAAGTCTTGGGGTTGTGCGTTGCGATATCCAAAAAGCCACGACATGATGTAGCCTGGTTAAAAATGTCGTTAAAACCGGTTGATAGAACGTGTGTCTCTCACTTTTTTCGTTACTCTACCGACACGAGAAATTCCCGCGTGCACTACTAACGTGAAAGCTGAAACAAGTGGACTCCGGACCGGTGCCTCTCGCATCTTGGCTGAACAACGAAACGCACGGATCATCGAAACATTTTCAAAATGTTTCCTTGGCCAAGTTCCACTGTATATTCCTGTTCCATGAAATTTCTATAAGAAATTTCCAAACGATGAAACGTCAGAAGTATTTGGAAATAATTTGGAAACTTTTTTGTCACGGAGACGTCAATGTTTTCACATTTCGAACCGCTTAAAAATTATTTTACTATTCTTTAATTATTTATACATATGTACATACAAATTAATCATTGTAACCAGAATTAATAAACATTTCATTCACATGTTAATCTAAGAAGTTATTATTTGTTTGATTTGCAAATTCGATAAATGTTCTACTAAATACTTATGCAAGTGTTCTACCACAGACGTACAGGATAGACCTACTATGTATAAGTACTTAAATATTTAAACAGCATCTTATGGGACCTTTTGTCCGGGACTTTGGGGCCGAGAAGTCCTATAGATATATATATATATAAGTACTTATTCCCATATAACTCGTTGAGATATTTATCAATACGCAAATAAATAAGGCAAGGAAAGGATAGCACTATTTGGAGTAATGAGTTAGACAAGGAAACGAATAGCGGTAGACAAGGATAGCAACAGTGGCGAGTGTTAGACAAGGAGAGGAATAGGTATAGACAAGGAGAGAAAATGCTAAACCGACGCCATCTTGTATTTGGTGACGGGAACTACGACTTTTCAACAGGAACACAGAATATAAACAGAGGTATTAGACAATGAACGCACTACTGTGCGAGAAGGATAGAGAGAAACGTTTCCTATTGGTCCGTGGGTATCTAAGCTCCGCCTTCTGATGGCGGCCGGGTCGACATCAAGTCGGCCGGGGAAGAATCATTAATAACTGAATAATTGCGGTGATTTTGTGAACTTTTAGGATTGAAGAATGATGTGCGGACCTTCAGCAACTTTCACATATAGATTTTAATGCACTAGACCCTTTCGATAATTAGTTATTAACAATTTTAGTGCGCAATGTTGGGAACGATACCGCATATCTTTACGGTTATTCAATAATTTCATAGCTTTCTACTAAATTCCTATGCGAATAACTACATGCGTTTGGAAAATAACTCCTTTGGCTAGATTCTCATATCATTTTTATTAACATATTCGGTTTAGTTTAAGAGTTATTAAACATTATAAGGGAGAGTTCATCGCACTCGAGTATAGTCAACTGTTATAAACAATTCCTAATATCTAAGTAGTAATGGACACCACTTACGCTACTGAGCTAATTGCAGAATATAGATAAAAGTCCATTCGACATTCTACATGGTTCAAAGTGCATAATTAGTCACACATTTCTGTTGAAACAACCTCGTAGTCTGAGAGTTGTGCCGTACAGCATTTCTGCTGCTGTTGCTCCGATATCTTCGTTGAAGCTGGTTCTAAGTCCTAACAGTACTGTGGGTAAAATGTCAATCCGTTTCTTGTATGGCAGATTACACATTATGGCAGCTTTCAATGATCTGTGCCACCTTTCTATCATGCCATTTGCTGCTGGGTGGTATGCCGTTGTTCTGATCCTATTACAACCTAAAAGATTTGTCAATTTGTTGAAGTGTTACTACAAATTGTGCACCTCTGTCTGTTGTTATGGTTTCTGGTGCTCCGAACCGTTTTTTCTTTCTTTCCGCTGAATCACGTCGGGGTCGCCAATTGCTACAGACGCGTTCTTCTTTATCCACCCACGCGGGAAGTAGGAGCAAGAGCTTTCTCTTTATAGGTGTCCATTTTACCACACGAGTACTTATGTATAACAAATAAACTCTTTGAAACTATTAACACGATATATAAAAATACAAAATCCTCTATCTCTTCACGCTTGCTTTACAGTATGTCCTTCACCCCTTGACTCGCTTTTATTAACTGACCCTCGGCTGCTACTCCTGGAACAAACGTTAAGAAAAGATGGCGCTGGCCGCTGGCTCCCTCCCGCGCACACCAACCACTTCCGGCGTTCGTCGGTATCCCGTAAACGAACACGCTTTCCGCTTTGGCGGATCGCGGTAGACGCTGCCACATAAAAATTCTCTATCCTTGTCAAACCCTATTCCTTCCTTTGTCTAACTCGTTTCTCTAGTTCTGTCCTTTATTTCTTTCCTTGTCTTACTCATTTCTCTAGTGCTCTCCTTTTATCAGTTATATCCTTGTATCAATTTTAATCTGCGTAATACATGCAATTTTGCTCTAATTTACAATAAATATTATTGGAAGCGAAGAATTCAAAGAATTTTCATTATACTGTAATAAAAAATATGAGAAGATAATTTTGAGAGATCAGCACTGCCACGCAATCCAATATATGGAAATATTTTTAGGTGCAATTTTAATAAAAGAGGATTTTTTACATCTGTCGACTTTACCATCTTCGATGGTTGGATTGTATGTACATAATTCCTAAACTCACCGCTTTATGCATATCACAAAGGGCAAAAGAAATAATGTACTCTGATTTTTTGCACGATCGGTATTTCAGAACGTTGGAGAGAAAAATACATTACGTGTTAGGTCTATCCTATACCTCGTCTGTGGCTCTACTATGTAGAAGTTGGAACATCTGAATTTCAAATTATGACCGCTGAATCCATGAAACGTTGAGCGTATAACACGAGGGATGGCGCTTTGAACACGTGAATCGCGGAGGCGACGCGAAACGTTTGAGATCATCGTACGATATCGTTTCACAGTAACATAAAGTAGGAGATCGGAGCAGAAGTTGTAAAAAATGTTTTAGGAATTTGATGGCAATCGTTTAATTACGCTAACAAAATGTAAATTTTTTTATCGAATATTTCCAAGTGAATTGCGGAAAAGTGCGCATAACGCGGAAGACGATACATAGTACCACGTAGTAGTTGCTACGTCGATAATGTCGTTGATTTTAACGCAGCAAGGTTCCGGTGATTCGGTGAATGTGCTCTTTTCAAACATGGAGAGGTTACTCGTTTGAAATAATATGTGGGATTTAGGAAACCGGGGTATTATCGCGTTAGTAAGTGCGTTGAGTGGGTGTGTGTTTCTTTACAACGTATGGGGCCCGATTCTTATTCTAACAATTTCATTGTTTCTCACTATTTACGCGTGTTACTCTTTAATCATCAACGACAGTTTATTGTCGCCACACGCGTTTCTTCTGTTTGATTATTGCAAACAGCTCTCTTTCGGAGTTCGTATAAGCTTCGAGGCTGTCTTAGATCACGTTTATTGGTACACTGGTCAGTTTTTGGAATCTGCGAATCTTCGTTTTCGTAACCGATACCTAACCCAATCTAGGATGGAAAGACGTCGAGGATCTCATTATCAACTTAGCTCCGATCCTTATTCAACTAGAGAAAGAAGCACTTCCAGTTTTGGATCGATCGCTCAACTGAGTCCGATCGGAAGGAATGTACAGAAAGCCGATATTGCGAACCATATCAGCAACAAGAATAGATTCTATCACGACTCGGAGCATTCGTCGTACGATGACAATCCGTTCGCCATAAAACACACCTCGACGCCAATGTTTCCGCGGAACAAGGAGGAATTTGAAAACCAACCACTCCAAGTATCACCAGTGGATGAAACTTTATCAAGGAGAACATCCCTCTCGTACAGGCAGGATCACCCCCTGACACAAGAAGGAAATAGATCATATTTTGGGGCAGAAGGATCCTCCTTGTGGGGTAATTGCGTAAGTCCTAAAGAAAGAACGGACGCAAAGGTAGGAGGAGAAAGGAAAGCAGTTCAAACGGTCGCAGGACCTTTGTTGGCAACAACTAGATACAATATAGACTCGAAGTAAGCATCCGATTGATTTAGTTTACAGCAGAGATCTGTATTTTCCACAATTAAGCACATTTCTAATTGAATTTCAGAGTGTACAATGACATATCATCTCCAGGACTTACAACTCGCCTGAGGAAATACGCAGCAGAAGCGAACAACAAATTAACTCATCAATCTCAATATCGGGTGGGACAATTTCCAAGAGTTAATCTTAACGCTAGTCCAGTTCCGTTGATAAACGCCAAGTCTGTGAAAACAAGAACGCCAGTGACAATTAGAGTGGCGCCACCTAATATCATTCGATATTCTCCACCGTCGAAGCAGAAAATTTTGACAAGTTTACATCAGATGGACGATAGCTGTTCGCCGCCTAGCGTTGTTCAAGCATTAAGGGAGATATCGTTGAAGAGGCACGCGTCGAGGGAAGACGTGGTTTCTGAGTTAGCGAAGAAACAACGAACAGGTGGCCTTGTTAACAAAGAATCGAATGAAACGAAGGATGAAACGAAGCAAAAGAGGAGCAGAGACGACTCTCTGAAATCGGAGGAGGAGGAGATTTCACCACAAAGTAAAAGCGTTCGACCAACGAAACGAACTAAAACACCTTCGTGTTACGACATCATAAACTCACTAAGTTCTAGCAGGCACGTTGTTTCCGGTGTGAAAAGGAAAGCTCGTAAGTAACGAACGGAAATTGTAATCGTTTAGCGAGGTGCATAGAGTTTATCCTTGTACATATCACGCGGCTGTGGTTGTTTCAGGAGATTTTTCGCGTAGCGGAACGCCAGATTTTGAAAAACATTTCAAATCTTTGGAGTGCGTGCAGAGTACTAGCACGCAGACGTTGCCTCAAGTTCACAACACGAGTCTGAACCATCGTCGAAGTAGCCACGACGAGGGGACGGAAAAGGGAAGTAATTCGGACGCGTGTAACTACGTGGCTAAGCTAGAGGAACACTTACCGCTAAAGGGAATATTGAAAACGAGTAATAGAAGCGTAGAGATGGAGACGGATAGTGGTAAAGAACATATGCAGACGGCGGCGACTCGTTCAAGTCCGCAGTGCAGCGACAAGGATAGATCGATAGAATCTGCCGGCGAATCGGTGAGATTAACGCACAAGTTATTTATGAGAGCAGAACCGGAGAGGAACGAGAAGTTGCGGATGCTGGTTGAAGAGCAAGGTAACATACGAGCAAAATTCACCACCGACGACGTGGAAGAGATCAAAAAGGAGGACATCGCGGATATGAGACAAACGAGCATGAAGGCGAGACTTCAGAGCATGTTCGATGCCATATCTGGTAAAGGTAAGTAAGAGAGGAGAGTTTTACGCGAAAGTGTGTCAACGATTTTTTATTTATAATTTATCGTTGATCCACGTTTACAGCAGCCAGTCGAATCAATCCGGACGTGGTCATTCAAGCGGAGGAAACGAACGCTGAAACATCGGTCGCGTGTCCCGTGATATGCGTGACTCTTAATTCTTCGACCACCACTACGAACGTGAATACCACGCCTATTTCTACGTCGGCCGTCGTTCCTAGTCCTGGTACTAGTGAATCAGAAACAAAGTCGCCGAAACACGTGGTCTTTAATTTACCGAGCAAAGAGTCGAATGGAAATGTTCAGCAGATAGCCGGTACGTTCGCTAGAACAAGCGAAACCGTTCCAACAACCCCAGTGACAGATAAAAAGAAGACGACTAGCGCTTCTGGAATTTCGTTTGCACCATCCGTAATCGTATCACAGCCTATTGTTTCGAACGCAAATGCACCAGCTGTTGCGAGTTCCTCGACGAATTCGAACGTACAAATTTTCAATGTTGACAAATCAACGGGAACCACCAGCATCGTCACCACTACGGTGACAGGTAGCTCGCCTTTGGTCACGCTCGATGCTGCTACCGCGAATAAATCTCCGTTATTTGCCGCCGTACCTGTCATCACGGCCAATACCTTTGGAAAAGTTGCCGCCGCTGTACCGACGACGAACGTTTCGCAAGCCGCAGGAGTCGCCTCGCCCAGCTCGAACGTATCGTTCGGAATTTTTTCACCGTCCCAACAAGCGAACGTTCCAGAGACAACGGTTGCTACAGTCGAGAACAAGGAACGAACCGTAGGATCTACTTCGACTGACGGCGACGTTTTTGACAACACCAGCATTTTTATTGGAATAACGGCCACGTTACTTCGTTGGAATAATACCGGTGGTTTGACCACGACCACGACCACGACCACGACCACGACCACGACCACGACCACGACCACGAGCACGAGCACGAGCACGAGCACGAGCACGACCACGTGCACGAGCTCGACCACGTTTGGAAGTAAGACTGTTAATTCGTCGACCAGTTCGAAACCCGGAACATTCGTGTTCGGATCCGCGGCAAATGCGTCACAGACTGGCGGAACATTTGGAAGTTCCACAATCGGTGGTAACGCTATTACGAGTACGGCTGCACAGACTGGTTCTACTACGAACGTCGTGGCCAGTGCTCCTATGCCATTCAAATCAAGCGCAGAACCTTCCCTACCGACGTTCGGATCAACTCCAAGCTCAACGTTTACGTTTCGTGCTCCACCTTCGTCATCGGCTAACGACGGCAAAGCTAACTTTTCTTTCGGTAATACGTCTACAGCGACGACTACAGGCTCGAACATGTCTGTGTTCGCCATGGGAAACAATACGACCACCACCACTACCAACAACAACGATAACAAAAACAACTCGACTCCAAGTTTTGGAACGTCAACGTCAACGAACGCCGGTTCTATATTTACCAGACCGATTTTGACGCCGTCGATTTTCGGAGCAACATCCACGCAACAAAGCAACCAGCAGCCTGCCTCAATTTTCGGTACATCTTCGAATTTAAAAGCAACCACAGCTGCCTTCACTGCTCCGAAGAGCACGGCTACCGGAATTTTCGGTTCGAACGTTTCCTCCACTTCCGTAGCATTTCCATCCACAACCTCGTCGATGCAGATCTTCTCCAACACTAGCAGTGGACCCGGTTCGGGAATACCGAGCACAACTCCCATGCCGGTATTTGGTTCTACCGGGAGTACGTCTGCTTCGGGAATATCTGGAGGAACGAATAGTGGAGCCGCCGGCATATTCTCCGGCGCTAGCTTGACCAGCTCGACGACAACAGTAACCACGTTCGGCACGACCAATAATATTTTCGACCAAGCGAACCCGTCGGCGGCTACGAATTTCAAGAGTGGCACATCGGTATTTGGAAGTAACACCGGTTCGACGTTGTTCGGTGCTCAAGCGAGCGGTACATCGTCCGCGTTTGGCGCCGCGAACGTCCCGAGCACCAACAACTTGGCTCCTTCTGCTTTCGGTTCCACCAACGTTTCCACGAGCAACACGCCGATTTTGCCGACTTTTGGTCAACCTAGTACCGCTACTTCCTCCGTGTTTGGCCCACAGACCAAGACGACTCTCGGCGTGCAGAGTTCCGCGTCGTCGCCTAATTTCGGTGTCGGAACCACCACCTCGATATTCGGAACAGAGAACCACGCCGGTGGTCAAAAGTTTGTGGCCTCGAACAGTGCTGCTTTCGGTTCTTTTACCGGGCAAATTGCCTTGCCGAATCGTACGTTCAATACTACTAGCACCAGCAACGTGAACACGAACGACGCGAACGCAAACGCAAACGCGAACGCGAACGCCTCCTCTGCCCCATTCGGCGAGGGCGGTAACAAGATTTCGCTGTTCGGACCACAAACCTCGGCGTTCGGAGCGCCCAACGTTTCTGCTCCCGCTCCCATTCCTGCACCCGCTCCTCTTCCTGCTGCTGCTCCCGCTACCGCACCCGCTCCCGTTCTCGTTCCCGCTCCTGTTCCCGCCTTCGGAACCACCAACACGAACAACGAGAATAACAATGCATCATCGGGTATATTCACTTTTGGGGCAAATCAGAAAGTACCGCAGCAAAATACCAGTTTCACCTTCGGTGGCAACAACTCATCTGCCCCTTCTACCTCCGCCGTACCTTTTCAATTTGGCGCGACTAGTTTGAATTCAGGTAAAATGATTGTTAATCTTCTTTTACGTTTTTGTTCTATCGATTCCCATTCGCTAACTGGTCTCAACGTGTTTAAAATTTAGGTACAGGATTCAATTTCGCCGCTCCGACGACCACTCCATCTATCAAGTTCGGAACAGCTAGTGCCACGCCGACGTTCAACGCTTCTACGCCTGGCACGTTCAGCATAGGAAGCGGTTCTACCGCGCCAAGATCCAGAAACATGCGAACCAGAAAACCGAGATGATGGAGAATGTAAATCTTGATATAGCACCTTAACAGAGGATTCTTCTTCGTTGAAATACAGCTGCGCGCGGCATTCGATCTCTCATTAATCTCATAATTCAAAATTGGTTACTGCGTTTCCACCGATTCTACCGCATAATTCAATGGATATGAATTTGACCGTTTTCGCCGTTGTTACACGTAATCACCGCTATAGTTATTATTGTCATCGACAAGAATTGTGTCTATGTAGTGTTGCGTCTCGCACACCGCAATTCGTTTTGAATATCACGGAGTTGTAAACACTGAAGCCTAGTGTAAAATGATATATTTACACTTTATTTGAATGTGTTACAATAATGTCGAGTCCTATCGCGATTCTCAAGTGAATTGCTCTTGAGCTCGTTGAATATTAGTTGAAATCTGAGTGAATGTCTTGGCGCGAATCTGCTTGAATGTGTCTACGTTTGTGCTTTTATAAATGTCGGTGGTGTGTTATTGGTCGGTCAGTCGCTGCGTGTTTGGGGTGGTTTGTGATTGGTATGTGTGTGTTAGCTTAGAGGTGTGTCTGAATTGTGCCTTCCGAAAGAGGGAGATTGTTGTTAAAAATATACGAATAACCGAGGAAAAACGGCACCTTTTTATGACCAGAAGGTTTTCAACTCCTGCGGTGTTTGAGTCGGGAGTAAAGCTATCGTAAAGTCATTTTTCCCGATCGTGACTGCTAAGAACGCGTTCGGTCCTTTGGAAGGACAATTCAAGGGCGTGGGTTTACGGCGGGTAAACGTGACTAACGCATTTTGTAACGATAAACCACCGAGACTTCGTTACGTTTACAATAGGTACGCAACAGTCGGAAAAGTCAACAAAAGCGAGCTCTCTCTGATTTGTGATAAAGCAAAGAAGAGCTGTTGTAGGACCTGAAGACTGCTCTCTTTTCTGGAGGGAAAGTGACACTTTCACGTGAGACATTCGTAAATGCCATACCGGGCTAGGTTAACTGTCTTTTCCATGTCATCCCTCTTTGCAATGGTGCACGACACTCTGTTCTAGAAACTGAAAAGAAAGTTGACAAGAGAGAGGTCCAGCTGTTCCATACCAATTGTTTTAGTAATTTTGGCCGTAGTGTCGTAAAAGGGTCTGATTTGCTGCAACTGTTACTCTTTGTCACTTCCGACCCATCCGCAGTTGCTTTACAGTCGGTGTGAGCATTGCAAGTTACGATTGTGGTGATGACGCGCAGGACGTTGTAGGCAGTAAAAAGGACATTGTGGATTTTGAAATTTCTCTCTGTATCGACTAGACCGAAGAGGCGAAGAAGGGAGAGGTCTTTGAGAATGTGCAATAAGTCTCATTATTCTCACCTTTTTCACAGTTTCTCATGAGGCACCTGAGGCTTCTTTGCAGAAGGCACCACCACATCAGGGTTGTTGGCATCCACTGTCACTCTTCGAGGTTCTCTATTTTACCTTTGTGCCTGTTCAACTTCTATTTTTACTCTTCTCGTTATAGGATTATACGATTGCTAATTATGGTGTTTTCATTTCTTAACACAGAATAGTGTTATTTCTTAATAAGGTCACCATATCGATAATATAGTATTGCTTAAGTTACATTATACACGAAGGGATTCGAGGGATAATGAATTCTCCTTACGATCAGTTTAGATAAATGCGATTACTTGATATCACCGATTAGATTCCTGTTTCCTTTTGGGACGAAGCCCGTCGACGAAATGTGTCGAGCGCTCCGTCTCTCCCGCACGCGCTGCGCGAATCTGATTATCGCCACATACATACATATACATAGTATATACATACATATATAAATATACACATATGCATATAGAAAAGCAAAACGCGTGATTGTTTTACCATAAAAAATTGCGCGTTTAATCACAGAACTGTTTCGGTATTGAACTTAAACGTTTATCGCTCCAATCGGCGCGGCGCTCACAATTAAAAGCGAAACTGTACTTTGTCCTTTAAGTTTTATACGGAAAGTTCAATTAACAAGCGTTAAACGTTAATCTGTATTCGGGTGGCGTTCTGTGGTATTCGCTAATAATATTAGAGAATATCGAGATTATTCAAGTAGGCGTTTGATAAATTTTTTCTGATTTTTTATGTAGAAAAAGAAAGTCAGCGATCGCATTCCATTTTTCTTTCTTCTCCTTCTTTTTCTTTTGTATCATCGAAACACTTTTGCGGTATTTTACTTTTGTTTCTTTCGTAGCTATTTCTTCAAAGAAAATCTAACGAAAACATATGTATAAATGAACTTGAACGGCAAAGAAAAATCACGTGATGGGTTAACGAATCGCTGTAGTTGCGCCGAATGAAAAAGTAAGTCGCGAATTCATGGGCAAATTCGCGACCGAACGATTCTGTCCGATCGAGAAGCACAAAATACGTTGAGATTAAAGAAACGCGACCGAATAGAGAAGCAAAAGGATAGAAAGTTGCGGTTCACTTCGCCATGTTGTAAGAGATGCGCAATTATTTTTTTCTACATTTCCAAGCAGATACACGTCATCTCGTAATTTAAAAGAAACATTGTAAAGTTTACAAAAGATATTAGAAATAACGAATATCGATATTGTTCGAGAGTTTCGTGTCATTTCATATTCGCGCTGGTTTGTTTCCTTATAACCTCTGTCCTTGTTTCTATAATAAAACCAGTCCTGCTATTCCATATACACGTACATATACCCCTTTACGATTCTACATGCTCTACGATTTAGCTGAATCCCATAACTACAGTTTCGTTCGTCAAACATTTATACATATGCGTAAGTTTATTTCGTTTTTGATATTTCTTCTGTTCGGAAGGGTGCGCGACGCGACGGATTTTATCGTGTGAAACGTATTGGACGCTATCGCCAACGTACTCAAGAACGTCATTAATACCGTAAACATTGTCGATACGTAAACACGGTATTTCACGTGTACCACATCTCGATAATTACACCGCATTCTTCCGACAGATACGAATAATTTCATACTGGAGCATTTTCGAAGCAATGTTATTCGTGGTACACATTAGACGCGTGAATAGTCAAGATCATATCGCGTTTCCGTTTAAAAGGTTATTTTGACGGACGGACGACTTACCGCGGTAAGCTGCGAGATTTCGTTGGTATTTGACAAGTTCGAAAGAACAGGCGAAATTCGCTAAAAAAGGAGGAAACGACGAAACGATAGAAAAAAGGGGTTAGGTGAATGGTGGCGAAACAAAATTGTAAGTTAGGATGGTTCGTGGTGAATTGTATGTACATACATACATACATTGTCGGTATGGAGGATCGTGGCGCGCGCGAACCAGAAGAGGAAGGGAGCACGCGAGAATGCGAACCCAATGAACGAGCGAGCGAGCAAGAAACCGAGGAAGTAACGCATGTGTTACGTCACGCACGTTCCGTGAAACTCTGCGCGGGATTGGTCGAGCGAGCGGGTTCGTTTGCGAGCTGGCCTATCGGAGAGTTCGTTAGACGAGAAGGATGTTTGTGCGGTCGCCTGGAGGCGCAGCCATGTTGGGAACATTAGAAGGGAACCAACACCACGACCAGAAAGACGGGAACATCTAGGTTCGGCAGCGGCGTGTCTTAACACCTTAACACCACCACCATGGCTGACCCGGAAAAACAGCCCGAACAATCAAAGGCTGTCCAGCAGAAGCTGGTCATCGGTGAGTGAACCGTACATTTATCCTTGGCGATATCGTCACGCGTGCACCGTTCTCATCGGCCAACGAATTTAGCGGAAAGAGGGAGCGAGCTTCGTTCTGCGGGGTCCTCCGCACGTAATAATGGCGTCTAGGGGAGCACAGCAGACGTTCAGCCATGTGGCATGTGCCCGGCAACCCGGTCTCCGTTCCTTTTTCTTTCACCGATAACCTTTCAAATTTTTCAAACACGACTCGTCCATTCAACGCTCATCCAACTCACTTTTCTTCCCTCCTTTCTACTTCATTCGCTCAACTTGCTCCATTTCTCGCACGCGCTATTAGCTACCGAGTTCCGCTAAATTTCACCTCGATACATACTATGTGCATTTAGATAGATAGATAGATAGATAGATAGATAGATAGATAGATAGATAGATAGATAGATAGGTAGGTAGGTAGATAGGTAGATAGGTAGATGGATAGAAAGAGAAAGAAAGAGAGAGAGAGAGAGAGAGAGAGAGAGAGAGACGCGTAGGTGAAAACACATAGGACGGACGCTTTACGAGTCGTGCCTCTAAATATCACTTTTTGCTATTTTCCTTATTCTTCGTCTCTTCGGACTTCTGCTTCTCCTTCTCCTCCTCCTCCACCTCCACCTCCACCTCTTGCTCTTCCTCCAACTCCTGCTCCTCCTCCAGTTCCTTTTCTTCCTTTCCCTTTCTCGTCTTTTCTTTTCTTTCGTGTTGCCTGCTTCAATTCATGTTCGTATCGTAAACGTAGCTATGCTTCGAATCTCGCGGTTACATCACGGTACAGCGATTCCGGCTTCTGGAAATTTCTCGGCCACGTTTTCCGTACCAACTTACCGTATTTTTCGTAAATCGAGTACTTACGCGGCCCGGTTTCGTTGCGCAACTTTCACACTATTCTCCAAGGTTCGTTTTGGGAAGAAATACAGTGCGTTGCGGTGGTCAACGTTCCACGTTCGCTTCAATTCACGCAAAGTGGGGAAACGCGTAGAGTAAGGAAAAATTCGATTTGTCCGTGCACCGAGAGCTACCGTTATCTTTCTTAATATTTCGGTTCGTTCGCCTGTTGACACGGTTTAAGGAAAAGTTGGAACGCTGTGAGATGTTGCCGCGGTAACCGAGAAAACCGTTAATAAGAACGAAGCTTTAGTAATGTTAGTTTAGTAACGCGGTGCACTCGCCATGTAAACATCGAGTGGGTCGTTCGTATAATTCGTTCTTAATTACGAATATGTATAGTGTATCGATTCGTAAATACGAACGTTCCTGGTTCGAACCTTCTTCGGACAATTGTTCAACGTAAATATGTATTGGTTTTGGAAAAGGTAAACACACGCGGGGCTGGTGATACGCATGGCTCTCATTGGAGAAAAGACTTCGAATATGTATCGTCTATCGGGTTGGCGACGGGGACTTTTTAACGCGACTCTTGAAATCGTTGCGATATGTACGAACGAGCAAGCAAAGTTTTCGAGACACGATCGAACCGGATCGCCGGGTTCTTGGTAAATCGCGTAATTGAATTTTAGGATGCGTTTATCGAATAAAGCAACGCAATGTTGCGCGTTAGATGTATCTAATTAGAGCCGTTTCGCTTTTGTTGGGTTTCAGCTAACAAAGTGACCGGGACTGTGAAGTGGTTCAACGTGAAGAGTGGGTATGGATTCATCAACAGGTTAGTAACGATCCGCCGTTTTTCGTGCTCGCTTCGTCTCCTCAGTCCCTGCCTTTTTCTTCCGCTCGCTTCTTGCATCTCTCTCTCTCTCTCATTCCCCTTTGCTCTTCCTCTCCCTGTTACGCGTCGCTATACCACCTTTTACCCGACCGAGGCGCTTTTCAATCTGTCGCGACCTACGACAATGGTTTTCGGTGTTCGAACAGGTTCCGATGCTCGGTCCGTCGTTTCGCCGGTATGGTTCACGAGTGGATTCGAATCGGAACGAGGCAGAGAGGGGGAGAGAGAGAGAGAGAGAGAGAGAGAGAGAGAGAGAGAGAGAGGCGTAACGAAGCTTTTCCTAGCTCGCAACCTCGACCCGGACATTCTAACCGTTCGCGAAATAGACGCTTCGCTCGGCACGTGCACTACCAAGCCGAACGCCTTTGCCCGCTCGTGGTCCCACTATCTTTCGCTATTTCTAGTACTCTCCTCCTCCTCCTCCTCCTCCTCCTCCTCCTCCATATGTATATTCGGTGGTCGGACCACGGTTCTATGCATTTGGATGATAGCCAAAGTTAGCGTCGTATTGCTACGCTTGTTCTGAAAACGGTGGAGATTTTCGCGATCGACACGCCACCGTTCATTCGCGCCGTTGTTCGCGCTGTTTGCGCAAATCGAACGGAATTATTCGAATTATGGTGGCAGAGGAAAGTTTCGTCCGGGTACCCATTGGATCGTGCGCCGAACTATCCTCCGCTCGGTCCATGTTCCGAGACGTACAACGTGTCTCTTCCTTGTCGAGGACAACTAAGGTTCGTTCACCGTTCAACTTACCGTTTCGCTTCGCCAGTGGTCGTGGCTAGGTAATCGGTCGAATGGAAGAGATATCTTTTCCGAGATCCGTATACTCTTCAAACGATACCGTTGCTTTTTGTTTCAGGAACGACACTAAGGAAGATGTGTTCGTCCATCAAGTGAGTATACTTAGGTTTGGTAGTTGTTTGAAAAAATGAGTGGCTCGTTCGTTGAAATAAGGCGAATCGCGACGATGGTAATTTGGTGTACGCTGTGTTAGTCGGCCATCGTGAAGAACAATCCAAGGAAGGCTGTACGCAGCGTCGGTGACGGAGAATTGGTAGAATTCGACGTGGTGATAGGCGAGAAGGGTCACGAAGCGGCCAACGTTACCGGTCCGTCCGGGGAAGCGGTAAAGGGTTCGCCTTACGCTGCCGATAAGCGACGCGGATTTCGCGGAGTTCATTGGTACATCAATCAAAGACGTGGGAACGCTCGAACTCAACGCAGACCTCGGGAAGGTCAGGAGGGATACGAGCCCGGTGAGTAACGGAAGAAAAACCGCGCGAGAGGGAGGGTGGTGCATATGACAATTGTAACGTTGCAGGCGAAGGCAAGACCGGGGACGAAGTGAATTCCGGTGAAGCTGGTGGACAGCAACGTCGTTACAGGGTACGACGACAGTACGACGGCTTTTACCGGGGATCACGCCGCTCTGGCCCGTCCGCGCAACAGCAAGGGGACAACTCGGGCGAAGGTGGCGAACAAGTCGGCGAGGGTGGCGGCGAAGGTGGCGTGCCGCGTGGTAGCGGCCGTGGCCGTGGAGGCCCCTCCCGTCGTTACTTCCGTCGCAATTTCCGTGGGGGAAGAGGCGGCGGACCGCCCCGTCGTCCTCGTAGCCAGGATGGCCAAGTAAAAGTCCGTAACGATTCCCTTCTCCTTCCTTCTTCTATATCTTTCTTTCTTTCTGTTTTTCTCCACTCTCGCGGTACATAATCACAATCACCACCATTGCTATTACCATACTATATCGTTTGCCACTCGGCAGTTCACCCAGCCTAGCAACTCGTCGACGATCCTGCATCGACGTTTTCGTTTTTAATAGCAGACTAGATGAGATCAGTTCGTGGTAGATTTTTAATTCTACGCTGCATCTCGAGAACAGAAAGAATTATACGCGAAACTGTTTCGGGGTAAGGTTAACTTGTTTCGATCGATTAGAAGGCTAGCCTGGAATTTTTGTATCGTCCATCTCCATCCCTTTCCTCGTACGATACACTTGTAAATACTCGCATCGTCATCAACGGATCGCACATGCTACGCGTTTCTACTACTCACCGTTGCACTCCAGTCTGAGATCATCCTCTTTCTTCGTATGTTACTTATCGCCTGTCCTCAGCTTGGTCGTTTGTACGTTTACTTTCCTTTCATCCGTTCGTTCCTCAGCCCCCCTCCCCCCCAGCTCCTCCTGTTTCTCTTTCTACCTTTCTTTGTCTCTTTGTCTCTGTCTATTTTTCTCTTTTTCTTGTTGACATTTTCCGTCCAATTTCCTGTCGCATCGTTGTCACAGCGGTCACGGGAATCGCGAGTGTTCGGTCCGTTGACGAATCTTTGGCGTAGCGCTTGGCACAACACACTATTGCACGTATCTTTTTGTACTCTTTTCAGTCGGAGCAGAAGTCGGATGCACCTAAAGATAAGGATGCACCTGCCGCTGCCCCTGCTCCACAGGTAACGTGGCTTTATTTTTCTCTGTTCCTCGCTCCGAGCAAATTCTTCTTGAATTTCACGCTAAACTCTTCTCTCCTACGCTCTACACCTTGGGATTAGTCATTCCCGGTATTTCTGTGCCCCCCCCCCACCCTTCGCGATTTTCTTCCTCCTTTCCTCGTTGCTTCGATCACGGCCTGTAGCCACGATGAATGAATCGCTGTTAATTACCCTCTCACCGCGACCTTGCTTCCGTTTCACCGCTGCGATTCGCCGCGGCTCGTTCCTTCCATCGAACAGGATTAATACGGCATTGACCATGCTCCTTTTTCTTACAGGAAAGTCAACCGGTTCAAAACACCACCACAGAAAGCACCGCTTAACCAAGAGTAATGGTACCACTACAACAAAAACACTCCTTTTAATATGTAACACCAACACCCGTTATACACCGAAGCAACAGCAACGACAACGGCGGCAGCAACAACAACAACAGAGCAACAACTATATAACATAACAATTGAAGAAATCCCCTCCCAAAGAAAAAAAAAAAAAAAAGAAGAAAGAACAGATATCGTGAAACACCTCTCCACACTCTCCCCGGTAAAGGAAGAACGACGAAAGGTGTGTGCGCGAGACGCTGCCGGTATTGAATTGGTAGCGAAGAAAGAAGACTATCAGCGAACAAACTTTCTCGAGTTGGCCTTACCGTCTTACGACGGTTTTGTAGAAAAATCCACATTAGGATAGAATTTGGACTGGTATTGGAGGACAAAAAGGTAGTTACCGTGTCTGAAAGAGCGGTAAGGTGCGACAGAGTGTCTCTACTTAGACGGCGGCAGAGAAAATGCGAAACGAAAATTACGACTGCGACGAATTTCGGTGCGCGTAAGGTTTCGAAGGATTAATTTTGCTCTTAGAGGAATCGACGAAAAGAGAAGAGAAGAGAAATACGGTGATGGGGATATAGAACGAATTCGAATAGGCGAAAGTGGTATTTTTGTTCTTGTTTTTGCGTATTCATTGTTTCATACGTTTTAATTTTTCTTCAACGAAACGCATTCGATCGTTTTATGCACACACACGCGCGCGCGCGCGCGCGCGTGTGTGTGTGTGTGTGTGCGCGCGTGCTTTGAGTTTAACGCGATACTCGCGGAGTTTTTCTCTTGTCTGTCGTGTAATCGGTAAACGTGTGTGTGTTGTGCTCGCGCTTGAACGCGTGCGTGATCGTGCCGTTTCTCTCGAAATTATTCCGTTTCTTTTTTTTTCCATTCAATGAAACGCAAGATTCGATTCGTGTTGGAAATTTAAATGTTCGTTGTGTCACTTTTCTCTTTTCGGTCCTCGTCCGTTTGTTCGTTCGTACGTTCGTGATTTCCGCTTTGGATCGCAACAAGATTCGTTGAACGATCCGCGGACTAAAAACGGTATAGCAATTTACGCAAAATTTTCTATTCGATGGTAATTAGCGACAAAACATACCGGCAATGTTGTTATGGTCGCTCTAAGCAAGTAAGGCGATCGGTGCCCCTGGCGGGTACGAGCTTCGAAACAGATAAACATATCCGACGATCAGCAATGCGATTTTCACGCGTTGCAAGCTGACCGTGACTTGATCCGACCTTTCTCGGAAATCTCGGCAATTTCTTTGCAGCAACTCAGTTGGCAATGCAAACCTGCGGTTTATCAATGGAGTAAGCAGGTAAATGACGAGAGGAAGAGAGAGAGAGAATGCGCGAGAGTGCTTTTGCGTGCGTGCGTGCGTGCATTTGTATGTGTGATAGAGTGAGAGAGAAGAGTGATAGAGATTTATACGATTTTGCATGGAAACGGAAGCATTTTTTAAATTTTAGTTTGTGGCTCTATCGTCGGAAAATAAAACGTACAATTTTCTTTCCAAATGTTTCAAAGTTGAACGCGCAACTCGTTGCAGCTGACTTTTCTTTTATTTAGAGATCGTTTTGGTTTTTGTCATTGTCATTATCGTTGTACTCGTCGTTGGTCGCTAATGCCGTTGTCTTAGTCGTCGTCATCGTCGTGGTCGTGGTCGTTGTCGTGGTCGTGGTCGTCGCCGCAAAGATACTTTGCGTTCCTCGTTGAAAGGGTTCGCGCGTTAGTCGTTCAAATCATTTTCGCGGCAGGGTTTGGAACGGTAAATAAGGGTACTCTTGGAAGAAGTCATCGGCTAGGGTAGAGGGCGGAAAGGATGCGCGGAGTGAGGGGGGGGGGGGATGAAGAGTGAGAGAAAGAGAGTGTGCGCGCGAGTGTAGCGTTAAGCGGGAATATAGAGTGTCGATTTGAAATCAAAACGGAGATGAATTGAGAGATTCCCGCGAGACGCAGAGTAGCGAGGAATTGGAGAAGGAGGAGGAGATGTTGAGAAGTGAAGGAGAGGTCGCGACTCTTTGATGGCGAATTCTGTGTAATTGATTGCGAAAAAAGAACAATGCATGTGTTGAAAGTGAATTTCGGAATTAAAAGAAATAGATGCAAAGAAAATGTTCGAAGTAGAAGAAGGATCGAGTGGATTAGCGTACGCGCGGCCACCGACGTTGGTGGGAAAGGTTTAGCGATCGAGCGTGGAACGCTCTCGAATGCGATCTGTAAGACATACACACACTCAAACAGACGCGCGCACACACACATAAACACATACAAAAGTTGGAGCGTTCGCGTTTCGATGGTCTGGGAACGGTTAAAAGAGAGAGAAAGAGAAATGTAATCGTAATTCGTCATTGTCGATACTGTCGGCTCGTTTCCTCTTCACCTTGTGGGAGGGAACGGTACGAGAACGAGAGGAATCACGATGCGATCGAACGCGCGTACCACTATGCGACAGTCAATTAATTTTAATTCAGTTTTTCGCGAGAAGAGGTCGCCGTAATGGTGTGTAGGTACTGTCCTGGATCGCGGGACAGGCCGAAGATAATAACACGGGAAAAGAAGAAAAGAATCGTGTCTCTCGACGAGAATCGTCGAGTGGCCAACCATTAAGGCTAACACAGAGGATGAGGAGGACGAGGAGGAGGAGAAGGAGGAGGAGGAGGAGGAGGAGGAGGAGGAGACGGCGACGGCATGGATCTCGCCTATCGCGTCCCAAACGTCGCCCGCCAACCGAAACCACCCCCTCCCCTATCGATCTACTTTTCCTCGTTCTCACCCTTCCCTCTTTCCACTCCGTATCCCCGTTCATCCAGTCTGCATCCTCGTCCATGCCTTTATCTCCTCAACAACCGACTCCCCCACCTTCCGAACCCAGTGAATTTTGTACCGAAACGCGAAACTTCGAAAAGCTACTTTCATATACGGAATTTAATTTTTTCACGAAACATGTGCATTATAAAAAATAAATGCCAAAAAAATCGCAAAACTCATGAACCGAAGGTCGAGTTTGTCTCGTTTCTACCAACCTTGTTCCTTCCCTTTTCTTCTCTCCCCTCTTTTCAACCATTTTAGAGTTTCTTTCTTTTTCTTTCTTTGGTAATGGATTTTTATTCTGGACATTGACAACGAAGCGAAACCAAGTTAACACAGTTGCGACATCGACGACAATAATGATTCAGAGGAGGGGGTCAGCTCGCCACGTCGTTCCTTGGTCTGCCATGCAGGCGCTCGCCGCGATTTCTGCCAAGTGGGTGTCTTTGTGAGGTGGTACCGCGACTCGATGGAACTTGCTTGCCCCCTCGAAAAACGCCTCCAATGCTTGTTCGGGTCGTTCCTCTTCCATCGCGGCTAATCCACGCTCGTACAGTCGTTCGCACTCTGACACGATTTCGAACGATTCCCGCAAGTCGATTTTCCGTCGACAACCGCAGCATACGATCGATCCGGTAGGATCCCGCGGTCGTTGATAAACTTTCGAGCACCCCTCGGTCGGACATCTGCGAACATTATCCTGGATTTCTCGTGGATCGGAATTTGTTGAAAAGGAAAGTCGGGTATTGAGGGGATGGTTGGTAGTCACCTCGCTCTAACGACGTCGTTGGTCAAAGTTTCGAAACGAGGCCAGTTCTCGCGGCAGGCGGTACACTCGCACCAAAACCAATATCTTCCGGCCAGAGTTCTTCGCCGCTCCTCCAAGCTTCGCTTCGTGAATATCGGTCCATAGTTTTCAGCGAGCACGTCTCCTGCTCGTAGGCTGCGAGTCGCTCTAATTACGATGCATCGGCCGACGAAATACCTATAAGGGAGAAACGATTAGCGGTGGAAATCTAGTATTATACATATGCGCCTACTTACGCTACCTGGTCACCGCGGGATAGCAGTCGTGATTGAAACGGGCGACGGTCGGATAGATGGCCACTCCGAGGTAGACGGGTCTACTGCCGCGAAATCGATGCGCCGTTCCAGTCCGTGTCTCAAACACCTCGTGAGCGTTGAATTGTAACAACTGAAGATGCTTCAACAGCAAGCTAGCCACGGCGATCTCCTGTTCACTCGGTGTCTCTAAAAGGAAAAGGGACGGAAAAGGTTCGGCGAGCGAGCATCTTCAAGTTTCGAACTGTACCATCGTCAGTTGTCGTCGCGGCCTGCTCGAAAAAGCCGACCCGCTGCAAACACTTGAGGAGAAACACCGCCATCAGGGATCTCTCGAAAAAGTCGTCGGCCGTTCTTCGTTTTTGGTGCATCACGAGATCGTACGGGCGCAGATCGACTTGTTCGTCCTCGTTCGATTCGCCGGTTTCGATTCGGTTCCCCTCGCGCTTCGAATCCCGCAGCTTCTTCTTTCTCTCGCGTCGCTTCGCCGATTTGCTCAGCTTGCTCGGTGAATTTGATCGCGCGCTACTTTCCCGCTGGACGGAATCAGCCTGGCTATTCAGCGCTCGCCAGATCTTGAAGCAGTTGGTTGGCCCTATCTGAGTGACCATTCGCAGAGCGAGCATGCTTAACACGCTCATTCCCGAGCCTGGCAACGTACGTGCATGTACTTATCAACGTGTCGGCAGCTCTGGTTAACGAAAAGCCGCGGATTTACCTATCAAAAGCGCGAGAATTTTACACTCGTACTTGTGGTAGCTCGTCATTGCCGCGTCTCTGCATTTTCTACCGCAGAACGCCACGCTGCTGCAATCCGGACATCCTACGGGAGCTCTGAATCTGAAAGAAACACGAGGATTATTTCGATTGTGTGTGTCGGAGGAGCTAAGGTAGGAGAAGGTAACCACCTGGAGAAACAATGTTGACAGTGCGTGCCGAAGAATTCCGGTAGTAGATTAGCCGCGAGCGCTGGCTCGACGACCAAAGTGTCCCCAGGAGCAACGGAACCGTTGGCTACCGCCTGCTTGCCCGCGGTCTCCGTCTCCTCGATTTCGAGGAGAGCTGAGGCCGCCGATATTCGCGGGTGTTCGCCACCAGTCAACCGGGGTGGAAGCGCTGCGAGCAAACGAACCGAGCATGGATCCGCACGTTCTACGGAACGGACAATAATCGAGAAACGTACGTTCGAGTGGCTGTTTCACAACAGGGACCAGACTCTTCTCGTTAGCTCGGAGAAATTTCTCACAGGCCTCCTTCTTTCGAGCAAGATCCGCCCTGAACGTATCCGGGAGAAGATGTTTCATTTCCTCGAGGAAACTGAGATCCTGCATGGCAAGCGCGTGCTCGTTGGAAGCGAGGAAGATCTCGGCTCTTGCGAGATACGCGAGCGGCAATCCTAACCCTCGGTCGACCGTCTGGCATTTTCCTGAAAGAATAATATATCTGGTGACCGAATAATATAAACAGATGACGAAAGGTGGTTTCCTCCTCGGTAGAGAAAAGGAGAAAAACCTGGAAGCGGGGCGCGAAGAACAGCTTGGCTGAATAGCAGCAGAGCTCTTTGACGTTCGGCCGCGGTTGCAGCCTCGAATCCCTCAAGCCTTCTCGCTCTGGAGGCGGCCGCGTCCTTACCGCGGTAGAGAATCTCCGTTCTGTTCAACGTTCCCAACACCTCCTCTTTTATCTTCCCGTCCGTGAACAACGTCCGAATCCGGCCCTCGTCGCTGCTCAACCGTCCAAACACCTTCGAAATCCACTGTTCACCGGCCACTCGCTTCGCGTTCTCGGCGAATTCGCTGAAAAACCCCCTCTTCCCGGATCTCAGCGTCTCCAGCGAGCACAAACTTCTGTAAGATCCCTCGCCTTCCTCCATGTCCGATAAGTAAGTATCTACCTATTCCCGAATTAGTCTTCTAAGTATGTAGTTATGTAGTTAAATCAACTAGCAAATGATCGACGTAACGACGCGTACCCGACGCCGGACGCACTCGACGATACACTGACGGAACTTTCGGTGAATAATTTTAGACCGAGTTGCCCCCGCTATTTCCGTCGCGAATTCTCGCACAGACGCGCCATTTTAGCCAGCTGACCGTTCAATTCACCACAGCGAAATGCACGTTTCCTCGCTATTTTCTCATTTCTTCTCTATACACGAATTGAATTGTGATTCGTCGGCTTGTCATTGGCGGCAGCGGTGGCGGCATCGTCGCCGACGTAGAACGGTTCCGCGTTGGTCGGTTAGTGCGCGCCGCGAGCTCGCCCCGTTAAGATCGCGTGCTACGAGAGAATCGCGCGAGTCGAAACGTGTGTCGTCGCGGCCATTCTGCCCGACCGCGACTAGAAGGAAGAGCACAGGAGGGAAACGAGAAAATAGAAAGGGGAACGGTAAAGCCTTAAGCGGGCGAAGAGCGGCAGGGAGCAGAAGGACGACGATTCGACCGATGGTTTATCGGTTGTGTACCGTGGGAACGCCGATAACAACGATAAAGAAAAAAAAAGAGCAGTTCGTCGAAGCGCGGCTGGATTCGAGTGTCTCCGCCGAGTGACGTAAGTCGACCGCTCGACCCGCGAACGCCTCGTTTTCTTCTCGACCAATCGAACGCGGCTGTTGCCGCACGCGCGCCAACCTTCCACCGATTCGAAACATCTCTCCGTATCTCTCCTCCCTTCGATCACGTCTTCCGGCTTTCCACCTGCAGCGGCGGCTGCAGATCGAGCAATCACGGCGCTCCCTAGCAGATATTGAAAAGGAAGGCTCGTCGAAGGGACGAAAGGTTGAAATCGTCTCGTTCGAATGCTCCAGCTAGTGAAATCCAGGCGCGAGCTTCACCGCGGCTACCGTCACGCAAGCGGAACGCTTCCCTCTGGATGTCACCACCGTTTCGAGGTTCGTATCCCCCCTTTTCCTTCCCACTTTTATCCCGTACCGGTATTACTCCTCTCTCCACACCCTCCAGAGCAATTTAGACACGCGCCATCAATTTAGAGTGGAATTAACCTTCGTTAGCCTCCACGTCTTGCTAACGACATACGAGAAGGAAAAAACCGATGAAAAATCTGTGGCGAAGACCTCGCGACCGACCCGAACTCAGTTGATCGATCGATCATCCGTCGTTCGAGCTGGTTTCTCCTGGTCCTACCTTCCCCTACCGGCCACACTCGATATTCGGAACTCGCGTGAGAATCAACGCGAGGAGAAACGATCGCGCAAACTTCTATAGGTGAGACCGCGTGAAGAAAGCAAGCGAGGAGTATCAGCATCCGCGTCGCGTCGCATTACGTTGCGCAATATATGGTGTGTCGTGCAACAAGCTTGCAATTAGACCGAATCGCTGCTTTATTTCCTACGAATATCATGACGCAAAGTGAACGATGACGCGCGAAACGAATCGACCTCGGATCGCTCGGCTTCGTTTCCGCTCGACCCGTTATCGTCGCCGCCGCGTTCTTTCTTTTCTCCTCTTCTCTCTTCTCTTCTCTTTTCTTTTCCTTTTCAATTCTCACGTCCGTACTTACATGAAACGTAACGCACTAACTGGCAGCAATCCTTTGAACCTTTGAGCCACACGGACTGCACGGCTCGTCTGTTTCAGAATCGGCGACATGGTAGGAAACGCCGTCGCGTTCGCCAATCTCACCGGCTTCCAGGCTGCGGAGACCCTTTGCTGCAACAGGTTTCTCCACGAGACAAACTCCCCCTCCCCCGAACACCAGCCCCCAGCTGATACGACGGAACCGACGAGAACGCGCGACCACCATTTCTCGTCGCCGTCCCCGTCTCCGCCTCCGTCTCCGTCGCCGTCGCCGCCGACGGACGAGCAAAGAATTTACACGGACGCATTCCTAAGAAGTTGCGCGGAACTCGCCTCGAGTTGCACCGATTCCATTTGCGACAGGGAAGAGTACGCACCCAGCTGGTTCTCTCAAGTTCGCCGACGATGCTCCAACATTCGCAGTAAGTCGCAACCTACTAAGTATCTAGCGTCGCCTAGCGTCCTGCCTCTTCCTTCGATGTAGTCCCGGCGGAAGGGTGCGTGCACCGGTGAAAAACAGCAGAGCAGAGACTCTATACAAATTTACAACACGCAAACATATTTTTCCTGGCAATCCTATTTAACATTTCTCCATTCCTGGTAGACCCGCCGTCCCTTTCAAACATTCCTCTTTTCACTGGGTGGTTTTGTTAGCTACGAAATCGAGCGTAACTTCCCTCGAAGGTAATCGAGCGAACGATTATCTCTTGATCAATAATTACGTTCGAGAGGAGGACAACAAGGAGAGAGGCCGTGTACGTATCGATAGCATCGATAAACTCGAGTCAAGATGTTGGATCGATTTTCGACTTGTACGCATGCGTTCTGCTCTCAGAACCACCACCGACCACCGACCACCGACATCTTGATAAATAGCGCGCGATTCACCTTCCTCGTGGTGCTCGGTTAGTTTCTTTTCTCCGTACAAAAACCTCACAACGATCGTCTCGACCCGATCACAATCGAATGGCAACGGATTTTTTCTTTCTCCAAAAAATCAACCACTACGAAATTGACCAGCTCCAATTACGAGTTACTACCCCATCTCGTCACGCAGTTCATACAGGTAATTGAAAAGAATCTCTCGTTTGCACGTTCATCTTGACAACCGTCGCGTCGCGTCGCGTCACGTTATACCGCGTGGTCGGTTTAGACCATCACATCACCCCCTTCCTCTTTCCATACAATTTCCACTCGTGTCACTTTTTTTTCGTCTGTTTCGCATTCGCGAACGTTTGGCGCGGTACGTACGGTCGGACGTTTCCTGATCTATTACGAAACACGCAACGCCGCGACGTGACAGCGGTCATCGGAGCACGCTTCGTGGTAATCGATGGATCGATAACGAGAAGAGCGTAGAAAGAGAAGGAATCGGGATACCGTAGAAATACTTGGTGGGTTAGCGGAGAAGAAGCAGCAGCGTTGAAATTGCACGTGAAGAAATAGGATGGTGGAAGCAACGATATGCGTTAGCGCGAACAACATACGCGCAAAAAGGCCAAGGTTTCGGTCGAGGTCGCGTCGACACCTCGTAATCGCTGCTACATTAGGTCGTGTAGTATGAAATGTCGGATTTCCCGTTTTTTTTCGTTCGATTAAACGTACATTGTACGTACACCCTTACGAGAAATTCGATCAACTTGAACGTAAACACAAACAAATTCCGAACCTTTGAAAGACGAATGTACCAATGAACGTTTCACGATCGCGTCGTGAAAGGCTTGATGTATACCGATCGTTCGGTAAAAACGTTTTCTGTAATATCGGCGGAAAGAAAGTTTGAAACGATACCTTTCGCGTTTTGGCTCACGATTTGCTTCTTACGTTTCCACAGATTGGTTGCCAAAGATGTGTTCGTGCCTGGAGGCTGGTGCACCGTTTCTTAGCCAACCCGTGGGAAGCTATCGACGGCTCACCGTCAAATCGAATCTCTTCGAGTTTAACCAGATACCGAAGAGACCGCGAATAACGTTCGAACCGGACCCGGATGAACACGAGGAGGACGAGGAGGAGGAAGAGTACGACGACCAGGTAAGCGTAGTTGTTTTTCACGTATGAACGTGGTGAGCGATCGGCGAAACCGAGCGAACGTTAGTTACACGTATACGGCGATTCACCTCTATCCACCTCCCTCAAACCTGTTCTTTGGGCCCACCCCACCCGTCCAATGTGAGAACTAACTTGAAAGGATAGAAAGAAGGCCTGAAAGTAAAGTAGAGCCAGTGACGAGTGGTAAAAGATGTAGGGGCGCTAATGGTCGGCGATAGGTGCGGGCACGGTCACCCCCTGGTAGTGGGGCGCTGGGGGTTGACGCGCTGGCATAGACAGTATAATAACGAGATGTAAGAATTGTCCGTCTGTGTGTCGGTTTGTATCGCGTCTAGATAGAGGAATTGCGGTTTTACAACGAGGATCGCTCCTCGTTCAGCATAATCGTCGACAGGCATATCCGCACGTCCGATTTGTGCGAGCTTCTTAAAGTGAAACGGAGCTTGTCCGGGACGGAATGGTCGGTCGTGGAATTCTGGCCGGATTTGGGAATCGGTGAGTGCGCGCAATTGAAACGCGTGACACGAATCGAGTCTCGATATGCTCGAATTATCGGATCGATTATTGCAGAGCGCACGCTGGAAGATCACGAGGATGTTTCTGCCATGTACAGAGAGATGCGAAAGTTCCCTTCGGAGCGCGTACGAAAATTCGCCTTGCAGCAAGATAATTTCAAGTACGAATTCTACTTCGACTCGATGGTGAGTAAAGAAACAAATGGGAAACATCTGTGATAAGGTCGAATTTTGCTCGACGACGACGACGACGACGACGACAACGACTATGTTTCGTCTTTTACGCCACGCCACGCGTCAGTCTAACGTGAACCGCAGATAACGAAACTGTCAAGTTTGGAGCTCGCGTACAAGTTCGACACCGTTATCTATCTCTGCAGCTATCGAATATTGCATTCGGTAACTCGATCTGCTTTACCGACAAACAACCCCGACGAACGCGACTTTGTTAGCCGTGTCCGTGGATAAACCGCGAATACCTTTGGTCGATGGAGAAACACGCCGCGTGGCGCGTCGAAACGTCGATCGGTGCTCGCGAAGAAAACGCGATTCGCAAGTCCGAATCGTCGAGTTTTCAGATTGGCCAGTTTCAGAAGATTGCGCGTTGCAGCAATTCTTTTCCGCCCAGATGAAAGCCGTTCCAGCTGCCTACGCGGACGACTGGGAAACGCTGAAGCAGGCGCAAGCCGCGTTACGAGTGAGTAAAAGCCGCCAACGATCCATCATTCGACCGCCATTGCTCCGTCAGTAGCAGCGATCCGTTATCGACGTTTCAGGACTATATCCAAGACGACAAGGCGGAATTCCCGCAAGTGTTCAGTTTAGTGTGGATGCGGATCGGATACTTGAACGTTTGGAGGAGAACCTATATGCTTCTTCGTGATGAAAAGCTTTACCTTGCGAGGAAGGTAAGCCTGCTTTCGAGACGTGCGTTCCAATTCACAGTCTCTCTCGCCGCGCCGCGTCGCGCCGTTCCCCAAACGATTTCAACGTCTTGCTCGCCATTCAGAGGGCCGGACGATCGATTTCACGGAAACCGAGGACCAAGACGGAACGCCACGGCGTGCCGGCCAGTTAAACGAGCGGACAGGTGACGATCGTGGCGATGCTCGCGCCGCGCGCCCTGCACAAGATGTTCGCGAATGCGTCCGAGCAGAGTAGTAAAGCAGCGAGCGTCACGTAGGAAAGGTAGCGGTGTCGCGGATCGATCGCAGCTGTCGTCCCGCAATCCATTCTACGTTACGGCGCTTGCTGGCGGCCACGATTGTGCTTTTCCAAGTCATTGTTCCGCCGCCTGGATGTCGGTACCGTCGCTTTTTCCGTCCCGACCAATTGCGACCATTCCGTCGGAAAGGGAAACTTGGACTACGCGGAGAATCGCCATGGGACTGACTGCGTCGTCGAGTGACGATGAAGAAAAAGGAAGCGGGGGAGCAGGAGGAGAAGCTCGTAGCAGCTCGTAGCTCTTTCGGTGTGACGATGCCGGTCAAGGAGATTCCCGTGTTAGGATAGGGCGCAGCTCCTCGCGAATGATCTCCCGTACTCGTTCGAGCCAAGCACGCCAACTTTATACCGTAAACTCTATACTCTCTGTACTTGATTCTCGGAAGAAGGAGGAACGGCAAGAAACTCGGCGATCTTAGGCGGGTTGCGAAATAGGTACTCTCTCGTACTCTCTGCGTTGCGCAGTCGTGTTCTCTACGTATGTATTCGCGATGTACGTATACGTCTGTTGGGAAAAGGAAGGAAATTGAAGTAGGAGAGTCGAACGGCGTAGCGCGTTAAAAGGAAACGCCGATGGAACACCTTTCCGCTCTGGCTCTCCTAGCCGCTTTCACCGAGCGTGATGCGTTTTTGCCGTGATTTCCGCGTCGCTTGACACGCTGCCTCGCGTATCGCGGCCGATGCTTGTCCTCTCCCTCTCTGCTTCTCTCTCGTTCCGCTTTCGCGTAACCCTGCGCAAACTGTGTAGAGGCGGGAATAGCGCACGCACAGATAGATAACAGGTCGACGAAGGAAAAGACGATACGGCACGGAGAGGAACGAGTTTGCCACGGCGAACCGAGTGTGCCGCGCGTGACACACATTCGCCCTGGCAAAAGAGCTATTCTGCTAGGAACACTGCTCCCCGGGTCGTCGACCTGCCTTCTGTCGCTTCCTCTACCACCATTACCTTTCCCTCCTACTCCTCTCCTCCTCCACCTCCGCTATTACCGACGCCGCTCTCCTCTCTCCTCTCTCCCTTACTTCCCCGCCGTTTCCCTCTTTTCTCATTTCTCCTGCCTTCTGCCTGGCTCTCCTCTGACAGTTCTTCTTCCCGGCCGATTCTTCCTTCCCACGTCTCCTCCAGCGAGAATCGGTCCGCGTTTCGAGCATCGCCAGGAATCGTCCACGGTTCCGGAACGGCGAGTTTCGCGACAACCGGATACGCTCGGTGGCCGGATGCGGACGAAGACTGGAGAAAGAGTCGGAGTCGGAGTCGCACTCGGTCGCGAGCCGCTCTCCTTTTCCTTCCGCACCTCTCCGCGCTCTGCGACCCTGTCAGTTTGTCCGTTCGTCTGTTCAGGGTGTTGGGCAAACACAATAGGGCAGGGTTTCGCAACGCGCGCGCGATATTACGATGCCCGTTGCATCGCGCGTCATTGTTCGCGTTCGCCACGCGTAACGCGCTCTCGTTTCCTCTCTCCGTTCCGATCTCGCGCACACCTCCCCCGCGCTGCCCAGCCACCCTTCCGCTTTTCTCCTCTCACTCAACCAATTTTTGTCGTGCAGTACCGGCAACATATTTGTTTACGCGCATACGTACGTAGTCGAGCTACGCTCGGTTTCTGGCACGCGGCCGAAAGGTGTGGATTTTCCAACCGCGTAACCGTCCCTTTTAGTACCACCGGCCGAAATACATCTCCTCCTCCTCTTCCTGCTTCTCGCGTGCACGCTCTCCGATGAAAAGTCACGGACGAAAGGCCTTCGAGCGAAAGGAAGCGAGCGAGGTGTGCTTCGTAATCGTGTTTTCTCGAACGGCTCTACAGTGCGGTGGGAAACTCGTATCGTATCGCGGTCACGGTTTCCTTATCGTCCCGGCGAACGATTCGGTTTAGGAGAACCGCGAGGTTTCGCGAAGCTGCATAAATCGCGGCCGGTCCGTCGGCCGGCGGCAAACGGTCGAGAACCGATCTCTCTCGTGCTCCCGCTTCGGAGCAGCAGCAAACGGAGAGCGGCGTAGGAGGTGGTCGAAGAGCACGGGGGTGGAGAGCAGCCAGCTGATTCGGGCGAGTTCGTGTGGGACCGTAATCGAAGCGCGCGCGCGAGGGAGCGGCGGCGGCGGGGCGGCG